CGCGACCCTCAGAAATTCTGGACCCCTTCCCGGGGACCGCTGCTTCATCCTGAGCCGTCTTGTGGCGGCCCCGAGTCCCGGGAAGGGCCCCCAAAAGGCCGAAGAGAGCGAATTCCTCCCGTCGTCATTTTCTCATCGAGGGGGCTGGGCCCTAGATTTAGGTCGGGCCTGTCCCCCTACAGAGGGATTTTGGACGAAAAATTGAAAATACACAAAAAGATAATACAAAGATGCCCCAACAAATACTCAAAAAATAATCCCCCTACTATTGTTTCTATTTTGGAATATTCGCCCTGTAGAGGGACAGGCCCGACGTAATCCGAGGTAGCCGTCCTGATCCTGCTCGAGTCGCCGCGTGTGAAGGGGCCCTGGGACACACAAATAAAAATTTACAAAAAAAACGATTCCCGATATTTTCTCGTATTTCCTGGGTTTCCGTCTTCCCTCCCACCTCCCATGTTTTCCTATATTTTCCTGAGGATCGAGGATTAATTGTGTCTGTATATGTTTGTTCCCCTCCTGCGCGTGCCCGGGCGGCGGAGGGCGGCGGCGAGCCCCGGGCCCCGCCCCGGGGCGCGCCGTGGCCGCAGCCTTCGAGGCGGACCCGGCCGCGGCCGCGAGGAGGGCGCCCCGGGAGGCACGGGGAGGGCGGGATTCGCTGGGCGCGTTCCGCTCCTCTGTGTGGCGGAGTGGCGGGATTCGCTGGGCGCGTGGCGGAGTGCGCAGACTTCGCCGCCCTCAGTGCGTGCGGAGTGGCCCTCCTGGGGCGCCCGAAGAGCGGCGCGAGTGCCACTCCTCTGTGTGGCGGAGTGGCGGCGAAGTCTGCGCACATCCGCTGCTCCCCAGGGCGGGATTCGCTGGGCGCGTTCCACTCCTCTGTGGGCACAGTGCCCAACAACAAAGGCTGTCCCAGACCAACAGCGGCCGCTCTTCGGGCGCCCCAGGAGGCACGTCGGGGATCTTCTGGCCCGGGTCGACCCAGACCCGGGTCAGCAGGACACCAAAGAACTGCAATGCAGGGAAAAAAAAAACTGCAGCGCAGGGCTTCGCAAACCCGGGTCAGCCAATATAGGCGCGGCCGCCCCGCGGCCACGAGCGGCTCGCTAACCCGGGTCAGCCAGAGGTGGTCTTCGCAGGATCCTGCAGGATCCGGTGCACTGGCTGACCCCCGTTTGCGTCGACCCCCGTCTCAAGGATCCCGAGCACGGGGAGGGCAGGATTCGCCGGGCGCGTTCCACTCCTGACAGAGTGCCTACTCGCAAACGTCCGAAAAACACGTGCCCGCTCTGATGTTATTTGTCGTTGATCCTCCCGCGGGGGATCCAGGCCATTTGCGAGTGGCTACTTTGCGAGTAGTGGAACGCGCTCGTCGAAAGATAACGACCAAAGCCTCGATCCAGGGGCCTCGAGTTCCCTGAGACGCCCTGGCGTCGTAATGTTTTCAGGCCGGCCGTTCTTGTCAAGTTTCGGGCGACAGGACCCTCATGGATGGATCCGGCTCGAGAGATGCCGCGGAAAGATGCCCTCGGTCCCAGACCCAGGACATCATGATTTGTTCATAACGTCGACCCCTTGAGGTTTCGACCCATTCCCCTGGACCGGTTTTTCGTCCTGAGTCGTTTTTGTTGACGGCCCCGAGGGCCGGCAAGAGCCCCCAGAGGCGGAAAATGGAAGAACAAAAACTCCTGTCATGATTTGTTTCAATGCACGAGGGGGTATGGGTCTGGATCGGCCCCCAGAGGCGAAAGGTAGCAAAACAAAGACTCCCGCCACGATGTGTTTCATTGCACGAGGGGGTATGGGTCTGGATCGTCTTCCCTCGGTGGAGGCAGCCGCCGATCCTGGTGCCGATGCCAACCCCTATAGGCTCCTCCTCCTCCTCCTCCTCCTCCTCCTCCTCGTCCTCCTCCTCCTCCTCCTCCCTCCTCCTCCTCCCTCCTCCTCCCTCCTCCCCTCCGATCGACTTTTCTCGAGCTACTCAGGCGTCATGCGCCCGAGGCCCCTCGCCGAGCGTCAGCGCGTCAGCGGCGCCCACCCCGACGGGGCCGCGCGGGGCCGCTCGCCGCCAGGGGAGATGGTCGGCGGCGAGCGACGGGGGGCAACGAGAAGGAGAAGGCCTTCTCAGAGGGCGGCGGGGCTTCTCAGAAGCCCTCTCTCGCGCCGTCCCGAGAAGTTGTTCCTGATCTTCGGGGAGTGCTTCTGAGGACGGGGGGCTTACGAGCCGGGAAGAAAACCTTTCGGAAGGACGGGGGACTTCCGAGCCTTCTGTCGGCTACGCGCAAGAGTGATCCCGGGTAAGAGTGACCTTTGGTGCGCGGCTTTCCAGGGACCGCGGGGGTACCAAACAGAAGCGCGCAAGTCGCTGGTTACTGTCGCATCGCGTCCGGCGATCGGGGGACCCCATTGGGCCCGCACCAGAGGTCACTCCAGCGAAAGGTCCCTCTTACGTCTAGTCGACTTCAGAGAAGGCCCGCCCCTCGGGGCTCGCCGCGGCCACGCGTCAGCGCGTCAGCGGCACCCACCCCGGCGGGGCGGCGCGGAGCCGCTCCCCGCCGGGGGAAGTGGGGAAGCTCGGCAACGCACGCACGCCTGCCTGGTGCCCCTGCGGGGGCGGGGACGCACAGAAGCCACCTTCCCGAACCCCCTCGCGGCGTGAAACAATCACGACGGGAGGTTTTTCTCCATTTTCGGCCTATAGGGGCCCTTGCGAGGCCTTGGGGCCGTCAAAAAACTACTAAGGATGAAAAACAGGTTCCGGCGAAGCGGTCTAGACCTCAGCTGAGGTCTAGACCGCCTAGGGGGTCGACGTCGTTAAAAAGTCACGACATCGAGGGTCTGGGAGCCCAGCCGACGTCATGACTCTGTCATGACGTGACCTTCGAAAAATATGGGCCCCTGCCAGGGGACCAATGTTTCATCCTGAGTCGCTTGCTGACGGCCCCGAGGCCCGGGAACGGCCCCCAGGTGCCGACAAAACGCGAAATGCCTCCCGTCTAAATTTTTGCAGGACTCGAGGGGGGGTCTGGGTAGGTTTAGTTCGGGCGTGTCCCCCTACAGGGGAATTTTCGACGAAAAATACCAAGAACCCCAAAAATACCCCCAAAGGGTAAAAAAATACTCCAAAACTAGTCCCCAGACTATTTTTGGATTATTTTTTGACTATTTTTGGGGTATTCGTGATTGTTCGTCGACAATCCCCCTGTAGGGGGACAGGCCCGACTTAAGGGTAGGTGCCTTCTGGGGATGGGGAGTCGTCCACCGAGAGGTGGTGCGGCAGCGTGTGGTGGCTGGCAGACGCGAGAGGGCCAGAGGGCGGCGCGGGCAGAACCCTCCCGACGCCCGCGCGGAGCTCTTAAGGGTCGCGTCGGCGCCGGACCTCCCTGGGACGCAGAAGGGGCATGCCAGTGCCATATGCGTCCTTCTCGGAGGCGCGCGTCCGACCCGAACATGTAGTAGACCCATCTCGTAGTATGTCGTTTTGCCAAGCGGTATGGCCAGAACGCGCCCGCCACGACGCATGTACTACGAGATTTCTCGGTGCGCGCGTCGCCCCTGGGGGGCGACGCACCCATCGTATTAGTATGTTCGGGTGCCGCCGACTCCCTCCCCTCACGCATGGGGAAAAAGAACGGGGACGGGGATGCACCGACCCGAGCAATCCGCGCGGGCCTTCGAAGTGCTCTGTTTGCGCTGTTTTCTTGGCCCTCTAGCTGCGGCTTGACGTCGGCCTGGAAACGCCGCACTTCTGCGCATTTTCGAGAGTGTGGCAGCGTAGGTGCTTGAGTTGCCAGTCCCGCTAAAATTATAGGCGACGTGGGGGACAATGTAGTTCTCCCAGCAGACCTTGCCCTGGTGGATGACCGCTGGCAGTGTACCATCCTCGTTCCACACAAGCCCTGCAGAATCGATGATCGCCAAATCACGCATAGAACTGCCTGGCTCGTATCCGTGCGCGTTGGAACACGGCATGCCCATGGTGTTGACAATCCACTCGCCGTACTTCATCGGCGTCGCGTAAGGCATGGCTTTCTCGTTGTAGAACAAATGGTTCAAAACGCCCTGGTCGCAGATAGTTGAAGAACAAACAGCTGCACACACATACACATTCGGACTTCCACGTGGATTTCTTGAGGCGGCGCTGGGCACACAGGCGCGGCGCCAGAGGCGCCGAGAGGGGGATCCAGCGTCGATCCAAGAAATCCGCACGGATCTTGGAAAGTTTCTCTAGATGCCCGTTGTTTCGCTCTTCGAGATGACTACAGGGTCGCACTCTATCCTGTGCGAGATGTTCTCGAACTCCTCGGCCAGCCTCCCGAGCCAGCGAAGCATGCCGGCGCGGGTGCCGAAGGTGGTGGCGATGTTGAGCATGGGCTTCCTGCCGACGTCTGGGGGAAGGCCGGCGGTCATATCTGCGAGGCCGGGGCGTGAGATGCTTCTCCGGACGTCGGGCGGATTGCTTCGTTCGATCTCGTCGGTTTTCCTTAATCACGGTCTCCGGAGGCCATTCTCGGGCCCCGGTGCCGTCAGACTGAAGGGGCCCTGGGACACACAAATAAATACACACAAACAGCAGGATTCCCCATATTTTTCTATATTTGTTGTGTTTTTGTCTTCCCCCCCACTTCCCATACTTTCCCATATTTTCGAGGGAATCGACGACAAATTGTGTCTGTGTGTTTTCCCCCCTCCTGACAGACATGGATCCGACAACGAGGTCTGGGAATCGCCCCCGAAGCACGACGGCGTCCCTCGCGGAGGCGCGCCCGGAGGCCGCGCGGCGACATCCCCCCACGCAGAGGGGCGGGAGAGCGGGGCCCATGGCCAAGATGGAACGCCGAGGAGTCGTTGCCGACCTTGGCCCTCCATCTTGGTCAGCGTCAACTCGTGGATCATCCTCGCGAGTCGGCGACGGCCCGCCTGGGCTGTGCCCAAAGCTCGTCGTCGGCAGGACTCTGCGGCATCGTGGTCATGGTCATATGTTCCGATCGTTGTAAGCCTCCATCTAGGTCAACGCCAGATCGTGGATATCCTCGCGAGTCGGCGACGGCCGGCATCGACCACGACCAGGATCGGCGTCGGCAAGATCCCACGGCATCTCGGTCATAGCCATCGTGTCTGCGAGGCGAGGTGTTATAAACATCAACCGCCTTGGGAACCGACGTCGTGGGACCCCAGCGGGCGGCAGATATGGATGTTGCTTCGCCCACACCGTCTGACCGCCTGCCGAGGTCCGCGAATATCGATTTCCCCCAGGCGGTGGTGACGGACAAATCCCCGCGTCGGAATGTCCCCCCTCGATCAAAGACGCCGCGCCTATGGCCTCGGGAACAGGCCCGCGGGCCTCCCCCAGCGATCTCCAGCCCGGGCAGCCGGCCGAAGCACTTCATGACGGCCTCACTGGGCAGAGGGGAGGGAGAAATGTAAGCGCCAGCGCAAACTCCCAGAATCATCCAGGACGGGCGGGATTTCGAACCTATCGAGACACGTTTCGTGCTTACTTTCGGTTTACCCTGCGCTGAGCGCAGCGCAAGCACTTACTCGCACCCCGTCCTACACAAACGGCCACATGCTTGGAGCCAAGGACCCTCCAAGGGGGCACGTCGCTCCCGAAGTGCACCCACCGACGCGCGACGCCCGCGCGCACACGGCGACACCCAGGAATGCACCAGCACTCAGGGCCCACGGTGCCCCGTAACCCTTCGCGCCGCGCGCGCACGGTTGCGTGCATGCGCGCGCGCCCCGATGCGCACGCGCGCGCGCAGACGCTCCAAGAACGCCGAGCACCCGAAGCAACTCCTTCCTCGAAGTCCTTATCAACTCCTGCAACTTCACAGATGTCTCACGCGTTGGGCCCATCGGCCCCCCCGGGGCGGATAGACGAAAGAATCCGAGCGTTTCTCACATCAGCCACTTTTTCCTGGAGCGGACACCCACAAGTCAAATGCCGGGGCGTGACCGCAAGACCTCTCGTCCCGCACGAGGCGCACCCAAGCCGTATGACCTCCAGACAGTGCAGGGAAACTGCCAGGGAGGCGGGGAAGGCCCAAAACGACACCGGGAGACTCTCTTGACTGCCACCAGGGGCCCAAGATGGTACCAGAGAGCCCCGGAGGGCTCTGAGACGGCCCGAGAGCGCCCCAACTGGCCCCGATCAAGACAACCCGACCGGACCCTAAGACAAGCCCAACATGGTTCAAAGAGGGCCACATGCGAGTCACAAGAAGGACACGACGAGTAGAAGGAAGAGGAGGCGAAAGAGGGGAAGGCATGGCAAAAGGAGAGGGAGGTGGAAAACGATGACGAGAACAAGGACAAACACCCCGATACGATGTGGAAGAACAGGTCACGTGTTACGGTTCTCGCACGCAAGCAACAATAAAACCAACTCAACGAATCACGTTCAGTCTTGCGGTGCGGGGGCAGGATGCTGAGCAGAAGGGGGAACGGGGACTGCAAGGTAAGGAGACAGGCTGGGCTGGGAAAGGGTGCCAAGCGGTCAGGAGGGGAGAGGCGTACCTAGAGCTAATCACATCGTGAAACAAACAACGACGACAGGAAATGTTTGCGGCCTTCGGATTGCAGGGGCCCTGACCAGCCCAAAGAACCGACTCGGGATGATGCGCAATTGGTCCCTGGGCAAAACGAGCCATCGGAGTCCTGCAGGAGAGGAGGAGGGAGTTTCGTCAGGGGGAACGTCTCTCCCACCCGAGAGGTTGGGGTTCTTCTATCTTGCGGAAAGACTCGCGTCCTCGATCCATGAACAAAGATGAACAGCATACCGCGGAGGCCAGGCCCTAAATATCCTGGTGATCCCTGGGTGCCCCGCGTCGCGTCCTCCACGGATTACGGTAGTGAGCGCACGTACACATCAGGCATCAATGCACGAACACTACACACCAACAACGCACAATCCAGCATACAAAACATCCCTGCTTAACTCGACAACCTAACATAGCATGTACAGAACACTCGTGCCCAATAGACACACACACAACAATCATACAACTCATGCGTACACAATTCAAACATAATAACCAACATGCACGTGTTACGATTACGTGCACCGTGCAGCTACTCACAAGACTGACCAAACATGTATAAACAACCGAAGTGGAAGCAACGCGTTCGCAGACTTGGCATGGTTACCAGATGCACTGATGGAGAAATAAGAAACAAACACAAACATACACAAATAATTCACGCGTGAAAAAAACGCTCCGATACAATGCAAACGGCTACGAATAAGACACGGCGGGCGTCTCGACGCGGTCCTGGATAGTCAAGCGAAGCTGCCACCGAGTAAGATGTGGCAGACAGCTGGATAAGACAAAATGGTGGACAAATTGCAAGGCCAATCCGAGACAGCAAACGTGACGATGTCACGCCGGCCCGAGGAGAACCAGACGCGGCAAGGACTGCCTCAGGAATGGCAGACGCCGCGTCCGAAAACGAAGAGCATGCTAACAGCGGTTGCTCTTACAATATTCTTCTCTAGGGGAACGACACATGACATAAACATAAAAACTCTAAGGTCCGCGCGGATTTCTTGGATCCGCGCTGGACCCCCCTCCCTGGCGCGCGGAGCGCGCCAGGGGCGGCGCCGGAGGCGCCGCTAGGGGTCTCCAGCGCGGATCCAAGAAATCCGCGCGGACCTCCGAGTCTTTATGTTTATGCCATTTTTCGTTCCCCTGTTCTCGCGTCACTTAAAACGGTTGGGTGTGCCGGGCTTTGGCTGGTGTCAGGATGGCGGGTGCCCGTGGGCGTCTCGTGCGAGGCGTGTGCGCCAAGGCCTCGCCCGGTGCCCCCCCCGCGGGCGAGCGCTCGTGAGCGCTCCGTGCGCTGGGAGGGCGTGCCGAGGCTTCGCCCGGCGCACGCCCAGTAGGCGCCTCGGTGGGTGCGCCGAGGTCTCGCGCGGTGCCCGCCCGTGGGCGCCGCGTGAAGGCCTCGTGGGCACCTCGCACGCTGCGAGGGCTTTCCACCGGTTCGGGCAGTCGCTGCGTTGACGTCTCCTGGCCGGTGTGCGTGTGTGTGGTGGTGTGCGCGTGCGTGCCGAAGCTTCGGCTGGTGCCCGCCCGTAGGCGCCGCGTGGGCATCTCGTAGATTGCACCTCATCGGTTGTAGCCCAGAGCGTGCACCACACTGACTGCGCCGCATGGCTTGCGCCGCGTAGACGTTACCACATACCCTGCGCCATGTAGCTTGCGCATCCACTGTGCGGTAGATGAATGTTGCGGCCGACGCTGGCAAACATATTACACATGACTGACAACAAGAATCTGTTATGTGTGCATCCCAATGTTACGCATCAAGGACACTCGTCATGGCGTCAGGGCGGCCCAGTACAAACCAAGTGGGCGCAAGCATCAAAAAGCAGGCACGGCTGCACTTAACCCCACACAGCCTGAGGGATTGATCGCATCTACGAAGGCCGCGCCAACGGCGTGCTTGGTTAACGGTGCGGTTGGGAATCCGATGTTTGTGACGCCGAGCTCGCGCAGAACAAAATGTAGGAGCTTACGAGACACCGTTCCTTACATTTCAAATGTGCAAATGTATCGAGCGAAAACGATGCAGCGAATTGTAGGAAAGCACGAACCACGCGTGCCTACAATTGGTTTGTCCACGAACCACGCCGTCCTACAATTGGTTTCCTACTTCGCTGTTAGCTAACACACCATTAGCGCGTCTACTGATATAACTACATGCATAACATGTTTCATCACGCGTCTAAATAACAGATCCTGCATCCACGCCATACATACAGGCAGGCCACGGACGGCTAACGTCGCGATGTCGCGTTGGGCAGGCCAAGACGAAATCCGAGCACAACCGCTGAAGAAACGGCACAACCTGGTAATACCGAGTATCATGAGCATGCCACGACCCATCAGACAGACGCCGCGCTGAGCCCTCGGAGCAAACACTCGTAGAAACGACGGGCTGGAAAGAACTGGCGCCACGGCGCACGACATCAGAACACGATGGAAACAATACGACGGCAAATTGATGCAGTCCACAAGTAAGCTGCCAAGAAAGGCGTCGCGGCGTCACGCTGGGCAGGGAAAACAGCAATGAACATAACCACAACGACCACCGACCTGAAATGACACGACCTGCGACCACGCGCCATGCTTAACAGCATTCGAAAACCGCGCGGGGCATGGGAACACATGGGACCAACACCACTTCGCGACTGAATATGCGTGACACGAATCCGGCCGCCACACCTGCCTGGAAAAACAGGCGCGAGGGCGACTGTTTAGAAACAGCAAGCGTAAAGGTAGACCTGCCCCGTCAATCGACATCCCGCGTCCTACGTTGCACGATGAGGCAACATGATGCAAACATTCTACGGTCACTGACTGAATCAGCAGTCCGCCCCCCCAAAGTCCCCTGTCTCCTTAATAGCATGTCCCATGCGCGCGACGTACATGACAGAGCAAGACCACCACAAACGAAAGCGAAATGGTATCAAATAGCCACGAGCCACGGCATACGAACGAGACTAAACGTGACAACTAACAACGATGCAAAACGAACGCGACGTCCCATGCTGTTGGCCACCCGACTGGTCGAGATTGTGAGCTCAGCAGGGTCAGTCAGCCATCCGGCAAGATGAGGTTGTTAGCTGGGCCTGTCCGCCCATGCGGCGCGTCGGCGGGATCGCAAAAGCCTGTGCAGATGCCGAAGGCTTCGGCGGGGATCCATGGCAACAAAAGGATGTCGCTTTGCCGCGCGGACCTTGAGGACCATGGGGCGTCCAAATCCAGAACCACGACAACCAAAAGGAGGGATATCGAGGGGAGCACCGAGGAGTGCGGGGAGGAGGAGGAGGAGGAGGAGGAGGAGGAGGCGGAGGAGGAGGAGGAGGCGGAGGAGGAGGAGGAGGAGGAGGAGTGCCCGGGGCCCAGGAGTCCCAGCGGGCGAGGCTCGTGCGAAGGGCGACTGCTCCAGCCCTCCCCCGGCTGGCAGCCGTCTGAGGCCCTGGCCGGCTGGACCAGCCAGTTGCTGGTGCTGACGCCCCGCAGCCTGCCGTGCCCGTCGGTGCGGGGCCGCATCTCCTCGGTGGGAGCCACAAGGTACCGAATACCGCCTCTCCTCGGACCTCTCCCTGGGTGCCTTCTGACTACGATTTCGAGGCGAATCCGGCGGTGGCGACGACGGAAGCCCAAGAAGCCCTAAAAGGAGAAAACGAGGGGAGGGTAGCAGTACGGGTGCAGGGAAGCGGGGAAAAAAAAAGTTGGAAAATCGGTGAAAGTGAAGTGGCCAGGGCTGGAACGACTGGCAGTGGGCGAAGCGAGCCCGAAACAGTAGGCATGCGGTCGCCAGGGCTGGACAAAAACGACAGGGAACTGGCCAAGGCTGGGGAAGAGTGGAAGGGCTGGCCCCAGCCACTTTTTCCAGCTTCCGTGAGGCGGTATGGGTCAGGGCTGAACCTAAACGGTGTTTTTCGTTTCCGTGTCGTTTTCGCTTTCCCTCGTTTTGTCTCCAATCCGCCCTTGACGCAGAGCGAAATCGAAACGAAACCGGCCCACGAAATGGCCCAAACACCGTTTAGGTCCGCCCCTGGTAGGGGTGCCTGTTTCCTCCTCTGATCCTCGGTCAGGTAGACCGTCTCGGGGGCGACCGAGTCCGCGCGCGGCAGGAGGTCGAAGGGGTTCTGCTGGAAGTTGACGGGGGGCCCCGGGGGGGCCGGCGGCGGCGGGGCGCACCAGAGGGGGGGGCGGGGGGGGGGGAGGGGGCAGGGGAGGGGGGGGGGGCAGGGGAGGGGGGGGGGGGGCGCTGAGAGGAAGAGGAGGAGATGCGCACGGAGGGGGGGGGGTAGGGGGGGGGTAGGGGGGGGGGAAGGGGGAGGGGGAGGGAGGGGGAGGGGGAGTGAGGCAAGCTAGGTGCGCTCGCGTTATATCCGACGTCCTACCCCTCCCTCGCATCCCTCACCATGGCGTAGATCTCCTCTCTATTCGCACAGTCGGATGTCGAGCAAGGCAATGGTCCTGAGTGGGTGCGCGATGCATCGTAGAGCACGGCATAGCAGCGCGCGGACGAGCCTGGCAGAGCGTAGTATGTCATAGCATGGCGTGGCGCTGCGTAGTAAAGAATTGCAGCACACCGCATTGCAACGCAAAGAATGGCATCGCACAGCGGCACATAACATAACATAACATAGCACAGCGTTGAATATCAAAACATAGCATGGCATAGCAAGGCGCGGCACTGCGTAGTCAAGTACGGCATATCCAAGCATTGCAGCTGAAGGCATGGCATCATATAGCATTGCATTGCATGCCGTGGCATTGCACTAGAAATAATGACGCCAACGCTGCAGCGGGAGCACGATTCGGAACGAACGGAAGCGCGGAAATGAGGCCAGCGCTTCAGCGGGAGCAGCATTTTGAATAAAACCCAGCGAGAACCAAACTTCCGGGAATCCGGTGTAAAAAAACAGTACGCGGAGGGGGGCCGAACATCTTCTGGACGCTATCAGGGGAGAGAGGAGAGCAGTATTCATATTGTGTAATTGAGGGGGGAAGGGGGGGGAAGAGCGGGTGGATCGAAGATGAAAGGGGAATGCGGCGGCGAGGGGAGGCGCCAGAAGCGGGCCGAGGCGAGATCGCCAGGAGGGAAGGTGAAGGGCATGGGGAGTGCAGGCGAGAAGGGGCGGGTCCCAACCGCCCCTTCCCCCCACCCCCGAACACAGTACCCGAGAGGCCGACGGCCTCCATGGGGTGGGGAGGCGCGGCGGAGCGTTTCCTTCTGCTCCGGCTCCTCCTCCTCCTCCTCCTCCTCCTCCTCCTCCTTCGGCTCCTCCTCCTCCTCCTCCTCCTCATCTTCATCAGAATCATCATCATCATCATCATCATCATCATCATCATCATCATCATCATCATCATCAGCAGCAGCACCATCATCATGAACAACATCATCATCGTCATCATCATACTCGTCACCTTTACCGTCACCTTCACAACCACCATAATCATCATCATCATCATCATCATCATCATCATCATCGTCGTTGTTGATGTCGTCATAGTGATAAACATCAGTACCATCATCATCATCACCATCATCATCATCAACATTATCATCATCACCATCATCATCATCCTCATCATCATCGTCATCATAATTATCGTCATTGACATTACCATCATCATCATCATCATCATCATCATCATCATCATCACCGTCATTGTCATCATCATCAACATCATGGTCCTCATCATCACCACCATCATCATCAGAAGCAGCAGCATCCCCATAATCATCATTATCCGTATCATCGTCTTCATCATCATGATCATCATCGTCCTCATCCTCAACCACGTCCTCACTACCCACATCATCAACATCAACATCATCATCGACATCATCAGCAACATCATGATTATCATAATCCGCATCGTCGTCGTCGTCATCGTCATCATCATCATCATCATCATCATCATCATCGTCATCATCATCATCAACATAATCATCATCAACATCATGATCATCATCCTTGCCGTCAACGTCATCAGCATCGTCATCGACGTCGTCATCGTCATCTGCATCGTCATCGTCGTCATCGGCATCGTCATGATCGTCGCCATCGTCATCGTCATCGTCATCATCGGCACAATCATCATCATGATCATGATCATGATCATCAGCATCAGCATCAGCTTCATCAACTTCATCGACTTCATCCTCATCAACATCATCAACATCATCATCATGGTCATCATCATCATCACCATCATCATCATCATCATCATCATCGTCATCATCATCATCATCATCATCATCATCATCATCATCATCATCATTGTGCCACCTGCCCAGACCCCAAAACACGATCCCGGGCAAAAAAATCAACACCGACTCAAGGACCAAGATGCCCGGTATGCTTACGTTTTCGTTAAATTTCGGACGCGGGACCGAGCGAAAGGTGGCACGGCATCTGAGAAACCCTTTTCTCCAAGACCACGGCAAGCCATCGAAGAACATGATGGAAGCTTCCCCCCTCCGTGAGGGCGCTCGTTCGCCGCCCCCCCCCCCGGGGATGTCCCCGAAGTCCGCGTACATGACCCAGTCGCTGCAGGTGGGGCACTCCTGGCGGGGAGGGAGCAGTGGGAGAGGGAGGAGGGAGAAGGGGCAGGACGAGGGAAGCCCCAGGAGTACGGGAGTACGAGGAAGGGGCGGGTCAGAACGGGGGGGGCGGAGGGGAGGGAGGAGGACCAGCGTCAACCCACGAGGCGGAACGCCTCTGGAGCTGGCCCGCCATACTGGAGAAAAAGAAAAACAACAAAAACAGAGACTTGTGGCGCTCCGCGCGGATTCCTTGGACCTGCGCTGGACCAGCGCCGGAGGCGCCGCGGGGGGGCCCCGGCGCGGATCCAGGAAATCCGTGCGGAGCGCCAAAACTCCGTGTTTACGTAGTGCTTTTTCTTCGAAGGGCAAGGAAGAGGACCAGCTTACAACCCGGGATGCACCAACGATGCTGCAATATGCCCTCCCGCCCTGAAGCCCCCCTCGGAGAAGTCCCCCCGCAGGCCTTCCGGTTGCACTGTGGGAAAGCGCCCCCCCTCGAAAGGCGAGCGCCCCCTTCTTTCTTTCGGGCCTGCCATATTCAAGCGAGAGCCCCGCTTTGACAAGGAGCTTCTTTCGGGATTGGGGGGGTGACCCTGAGGTAGGGGAACGAAAAATTGCATAAACATGAAAACTCGAAGGTCCGCGGGGATTTCTCGGATCCGCGCTGGACCCCCCTGGCGGCACCTCCGGCGCCGCCCCTGGCGCGCTCCGCGCGCCAGGAAGGGGGGTCCAGCGCCGATCCAAGGAATCCTCGCGGACCTCAAAGTTTTTATGTTTATGTCATTCTCGGTTACCCTGGGCGTGAGTTCGATCAGTTGTGCACCGAACTGCCGCAAACAGAAGCCCCCCGCATGCCTCACCGATCGGCAACTATCAGGAGCTGCCGGCGGCTGGGGGGGCATCTGTTTTGGGCGGTTCGGTGAAAAACCGATCCCCCCTTTGCTGGATCCCGACTCTTGCATCCTTCCAGCGCGTCCCACCAGCCTTTTGAGCGTAGGTGGTGTAGCAAGCTGGTTAGTCCAATGCCCTTCTTCCCCTCATGGGGAGAGATCTACCTCTCCCCCATACCCCCTCTCCCTGGTTCTGGATAGCCCATGGTGGCCTCCACGATGGCACAAGTTATCCCGCGAAATGGTTCAAGATAGCTTCCAGCATGCCTCCAAGATGCCCCAAGACCGCCCTAAGACAGTTCCAAGTGGCCACCACGGACCTCCCCAACACCAAAGGCAAATCAATCTGTCGGCCAGCCGCGGTGGTTTACCCAGACGAATGCGGTTCCTCCTCTTCGTCTCCCCCCCTCCTGCCCCTCTCCGTCTCATTATTGTTGTTGGGTGCTCTGCGTTTTTGTTGCTCTCTCTCTCTCCCTCTCTCGCTCAGTCTCTCTCTCTCTCTCTCTCTAACTCTCTGTCTGTCTGTCTCTCTCTCTCTCTGCGTATGTGTGTATGCGTATTGTAGTGTTCTGCATTGTCTGCGTGTTCTCTTATTTGGGCTGCCCTACTCAAAACTTGCATTGGATGGGGAGGACGAAACAGAGAAGAAGGATCATCAGGAAACATACATAGCACAAGGGGACTGAAGTATTGGCGGAAGAAACGTTAGGAACCACACAAGCACAACTCCCAGGGGAGCCCGTCTGGAGGGACTCGTCCGAAGGGAAACCCCACACTATGTGTCCACATGTTGTTGGCTCGTTTTTCCAAAATTGTGTTCCCAAAGCTTCTGCCGCCAACAGTTCGGTTGCTGTGGTCGTATTTGGTGTTCCTTCTGTTGTTTTGGTGTTCCAGCGCCATCCTCCTCCTCCCTCTCCTCCCCCTCACTCCTCATTCTTCTCGTCGTCGTCCTCCTCCTCCTCTTCCTCCTCCTCCTCTTGATTTCTGATGGCGTGAGGAGTCTCCGACTGTCCTCCTCCTCGTCACTCCTCTCCTCCTCCTCCTCCTCCTCCTCCTCCCCCTCCTCCTCCTCCTCCTCCTCCTCCTTCTCCTCCACCTCCTCCTCCTCCTCCTCCTCACTCCCCTCACTCCTCGCGAGGAGGAGGGAAGTGATGATGATGAAGAGGAGCAGGTGGAGGAGAAGGAAGGCGGAGTGGAGGAGAGGATTAGAGAGGACAATTGCAAAAAAAAACAGCAAGCCCTTTAGGGCAAACCACTGCGGCTGTGGGCAATGTTCGTTGGTATTGCCGCCTTTCCGCTTCCGATGAGCCCTTGCGGTCTCAGTATAGCTTTATGTCGGGCATGTCCTCCTACAGGCGGATCTTGGGAAGAACAAATTAAGAATGCTCAAACTATATAATCAAACAACTAATAAAAAAATAGTTTCCTGACTATGTTGAAACATATTCTTGAACATTCCTCCTGTAGAGGGACAGGCCCGACTTGAATGCAGCAGCTACGAGATAGCCCCAGAGGAATCCGACAGGGGCTGAAGCAGGCCCAGAGAGCGCCCCAGAGCGTCCCAGGAGCGCCAGAGCGCCCAGGGATTGGCCCTAAGAGGCAATGGTTCGGCCTCCGAGGGGGGGGGACTGAGAACCCCTCATCTTCGACAGATGTCCTTCACTATTCCACCAAGGCCTCCACTCCAAGATGGGACTCGAGAGAGCCCCAAGATTGCCCCAACGGCCTCCAGTGAACCCGGCGCGACCCCAGTGAGGGGAACGCTTCCAAAGCGGCGTTGCTTAGAATTGCTTGGCGTTGAAATTATTTGCTGTGCAATGCATTGCATTGCTTGCCATTGCTTGGCATTGCTTTGCATTACTTGGCGTTACTTGGCATGGCTTTGCATCGCTTGGCATTGCTTGGCGCTGCGTGGTGTTGGGTGGCATTGCTTGGCATTGTTTTGCATTGCTTGGCGTTGCTTGGCATAGGTTGGCGTTGCTTGGCGTTGCTTGGCCTTGCTTTGCACGGATTGGCATTGCTTGGCGTTACGTGGCATTGCTTGGCGTTGCTTGGCATTGCTGGCATTTCGTGGCGATGCTTGGCATTGCTTGGCGTTGCTTGGCATTGCTTGGCGTTGCTGTGCACGGCGTGGCATTGCTTGGCGTTGCGTGGCGTTGTTTGACGATGCCTGGCGTTACCTGGCACTGCTGGGAAACAAAACCAACAACCAGGGCGGTAAACCCGAGGAAACCGGGGAACCCGAAGAACCTCGGAGGAACGAGCAACGTGACAATACAAAACACCGGGGGCGAAGAACCCGAGGAACCCGGAACGGGCAACGTAAGAATCGGAGGAGGCACCGAGGGCGAGGAACCCTGGCAACCCGAGGAATCCAGGGAAATTTCGAGGAGCGGGCAGAGTAGCCTCCCGAGGCACCCACCTCCAACCAATGAAGAACCCCTTAGGCCCTTAGGCAAACCGAATTGGGGAAAAATGGCCGCAAGAGGGCCATAAGAGGGCCCCAAGAGAGCCTCAATCCCACCAGCCCTTCAGGGCGCGAATGGTTCAGGGAGTTCCCTCGTACATCTCCTCTTCCCTTTCGGAGAGGGGTGGTTTACCCCTCCCCGTATATGTTCCCCCTTCCCCCTGGAACTGGAGGGAAGGTTTCGCGAGGGGTCGGAGCGTGCAAGATAGCCTCGACGAGGAAACCAAAATCATTGCTTTGACGTTGGTCTTGAACGCATGATGGTCTCCTGTGAGGGTGAACCCTAATTTTGCACGGCCCGTTCCTTGATCAATCTCCTCCTAGATGGCCCCCGAGTCTCCCAACGGTGCCCCAAGACGGCCCCTAGAGGTGCTCAGGAGGCCCAAAGAGCCCACCGAGAGGCTCCCAGGATGCCCCCAATAGCCTCCCAACCGAACCCCGAAGATGGCCCCAATAGTCACCCAAGACGCCCCAAGAGGCGCGGCGAGAAGGCCAAACTCATTGATCATTGATGCTACTAACTTCTCGTTTTGACAACATATTGGCCTCATGGGGGGGGACCCTAATTGGGTACCGCCCGTCCTTTAATCGACCTCCTCCAAGATGGCCTCAAGATGGCCCCCGAGGCTCCCAAGGGTGCCCCAAGACGGACCTCCTCCTCCTCCTCCTCCTCCTCCTCCTCCTCCTCCTCCTCCTCCTCCCTCCTCCTCCTCCTCCTCCCTCCTCCTCCTCCTCCTCCCTCCTCCTCCTCCTCCTCCTCCTCCTCCTCTTCCTCTTCCTTCCTCTTCCTTTCCTCCTCCTCCTCCTCCTCCTCCTCCTCCTCTTCCTCCTCCTGCTCCTCCTGCTCCTCCTGCTCCTCCTGCTCCTCCTGCTCCTGCTCCTGCTCCTGCTCCTCCTCCTCCTCCTCCTCCTTCTCCTCCTCTCTCTTGCTCTTGCTCGCCTCGCGCGAGCAGCTGCAGCCGACGACAGTACCGAATCCCCCTCGGCGCTTGCCCCCGTGCTCTCGAGCAGAAGCCCCCAGGCGCCTCGAGCCATCGGAGGCCGTAGACCCACCGGGCGTTGTCCAGCTTGAGGTGGGGGAAGTCCTCCGTGCAGACGTTGCGGGTGACGTAGCCCGGATTCAGCTTGCCCACGGCGTCCTGGCGGCACCGTGCGGGGGCAGCGTGGACGCGCGTGGGGGCATTCTGTTCTCGCCGGATTGGACTTCTGGAAGTGTTCGATGGGTTCTCGGGCTGGGAAGCCCAAACTCTTGCAACATTGTCGATGGGCAGAATTGAACGAAAAAACGCACGGCATTCTGAAGCCACACGTGCACATGCATTTCCGGCCCATTACCCCCGAATTCCGACAGACGACCTACCGCCTACATGTCGCAGCGGCTGAGCAGAACCTTATCTCTCCGAGCCAGCTGCACGTGCGAGAACACTGCATCGTTCCACGCTGCCCCCCCTCCTGCTGAACCTCGTCCCCTCCTGCTCCTCCACCTGTCCCCCTCCTCCCTGGGGGCAAACGCGACGAAACACTAGAACCCAGGCCAAGAGCGGGCCGAATGAGATTATATAGTCCTGGGCTCGCGATGTACGGGCACTTCCTCCAGTAGGAATCGGCCTCTGCACCAATCGCCCCCCCCCCAGAATGCTGCCGCGTTGCAGATCGGGGGGCGCCTCGAGAAATGCCAGCTCAACAATGCGTCCCAAAAGCTGCGCCCAATCTCATGTGGCCTCTGTGGCTCCGAAGGGCGCCCATCGCCATCTTGGCTCAAGGCGGACATAGGTGGACATACCACATGGAGCATGGGAACCTCGGATGCGTTAGAGGCCCTCTAGTTTGTAACGCATTCCCTCGAGCTGTGTTGGAAGCCTGGTAGTCCTAGACTCGCTTGGTGAAGCGCATCGCTAACTAACATACGACCTTGTCGCCCGTACAGCGCAACACCTACATCACTGGGCGATGTGCAACAAAACGAAGCCACGACTCGCTAACGCACTGGCTGGGAATAAGTGTGATGACCTGATACGCGACTGACGCCATGAACCCCGAACACTGCTGGCTCCATCAGCTGACTGAAACTAACAAGCATTGAGCGTGACCGGAAAAAGCATGGGCGTTATCTGAACGCGTACAGTGACACCCCAAGTTTAAACAAATAGTCTGGATCAGGGCTGAACCTAGACTGTGTTTTTCGTGTTCGTTTCGTTTTAGTTTTTCCTCGCTTTCGTCTCCAATCCGCCTTTGCTGCAAAACGAAGTCGAAACGAAAACGGCCCACGAAATCACCAAAAACACCGTTCAGCTCCAGCCCTGGTCTGGATCGTGGTCTGGAAGCGGAAAGCGCAAATTGCATTTGAAGCGGGTCCGCCACCGTGCCCCTGTGGCACGAAGGGGGCGTGTCCCCCCAGGTTCCTCTCAACACCTGAGCCCCAGTCTCCAATCCTGAAGACTCTTTTAGGGTCCTGGGGCACACATTCTCAAATCTGCTGGGGCTCGCCACGAGCCCTCTGGGGCGCGTCGAGCGTTTTCGCGTGGCTTGTTGGGGGGCCACGCTGGCCCCACGACGGGCCAAGAGACCCCCAAGAGGTGGCCCAGATAATCCAAGGATGCCCCGGATCGCTACACGATCGGTCCAGGACGCTCAAGGTGGCTCCACGGCATCTTCAAGATGGCCCAAAAAGCATTCGAGACGCCCCAAGAGAGCCCCAAGAACCTTCCCAAGATGGCCCCGAGAGGCCGGGGGGCGTGTTTGCCCTTTGGTTATTCAGCGTTTGGGGGATTCTCGACATTTTGAGCTTCCGAGGCTCCGAGACGGCCCAAGGGGCCTGCAAGACCGCCCACAAACGGTCCAGGAAGGCCGCAAGACGACCCAAGAAAGCTCTACCTTCAAGCCGCACACACACATTCACCACCTCGGTCGGCGAGTGTCGGCGGTGGCGGACGTTCTGGCATGGTCGCGACGACACGGGAAGCGGACTAGGAACTTGCTTGGAGTCGAGAGATCGTCCTGATGCGATTTTGTTTATGGGGGGCCACCCCGATGCCTTTCCGACCGCCCACACCTGTCATCTTGAGCCGCCGGGAGCCTGGTAAGAACTCTGAGGCACTGGAGGATAATTACGGGGGGGAGGAGGAGGAGGAGGAGGAGGAGAAGGAGGAGGAGGAGGACGACGACGACGAGCGGGAGAAGGACTTCCTGGAATTGGTGCTGGCGGGGCTCCCGAATGCAAACTCGGACCCTATCGCCACTCCGCTCAAGCTAGGCTCCTGGGAACTGCCTTCCACATCTAGGAGGGAGGCCCCCGTACAGCCTGCTCAGATTCTGCGCCCCCGTCCGACGACCAGCGGGGGACGGAGGAGGCCAACGGGGAGAACCAGGCGGAGGGGAGGCAGAGGCAATGAGAAAGCAAGGGAGGTCCGAGCACGAACAGTCGCCGACCGCCCAGGCGAGACCGAAGCCCCAGACCACCCCCCAGAGAGCAGCTCTTTGGCCAGCCCGCCCCCGATCCTCCGAGTACCGCAGCTGGCACGGCGCCTGGCGGATGTACTTCGGGGTCACCGCCGCCCGCCGCAGGAAGTCCGTCTGGTCCGTGGTGTTCTCCTTTGGACGCCCGAGATTGGTACGGAGAAAATGGGTACAATGCCCAACAGATGTTGTCCCAAACCCACAGCGGCCGCTGTTGGGCAGGCGGCTTTTTGTCTTCCAGGAACAACGTCCGTGGCGGCGCGGACAGCGAGGCCTGTTCAAAACGAAGAAGAACTGCTGTTGGGCATCGTACGGTGGGGGCGTTGACCCAAGGACCCCCAGATAAGGAACGAGGCCCCTTCTTCCCATAAGTTAAACTCCGATGCTCCATGGAAAACCTCAGGAAGTCCCAAGGAGCACTGTAAGACAACCAAGGAGCACGGAGCCCCTCCCAAACGAAAAGGGCTCCCTCTTCAGCGCCCCGACTGTGCCCCGCCTTCCCGTGCCCGTTTCGCTCGCCCCGCTCTCCCACATGCCCACGACGATCTTCCCGGCGAAGCCCGCGCCGCGCAGGGAGTTCACGAAGGCGAGGGGGAACCGGGAGACGTCCGAGGAGTGCGCGTACGCGGCCAGGGCCATCACCGTGGCCTGGGGCCGCTCGTCGTCCCCCCCCGCGGCCCCCCCCCCGGTGCCAGGGAGGAGAGAGGAGGGGGCCTGCTCCCCTCCTCGGTCCCCCTGCCCCTCCCCTGCTCCCCCTCCGCTCCGCTCGGAGCCCGGGAACAAAACAACCAAACAAACAATCAAAAGTAGTCGAAGAAGCCGAAGAAATCGTCACCAGACTGGTTCTTGACTGTTCCTGAATATTCCTCCTGTCGAGGGACATGCCCGACGTAACGTTGATCCAAGCAACCTGGGCGGAAATGCGAACATCTATGTTTACGTGTGCAGATGTTGCTTCTTCGACCTTACATTCCACTCCCACCCCGCTTGCACTCCACAATCTCTCACTCTCTTTCTCTCAGCCCCCCATCCCACACACACAGAAACCGCGCCTAGACGGGCGCATCGGCACCCCGTCGTATGGTCGGCTGCAAACAATGCCCAGACACGTAGGTCAAGAGAACATCTCTTGATGCGAAGGCCAACCGCAGAAGCCTCCAAACTCTTCCCATCCCCGAGCGTGAGCTTCGGTTTCAAACAAGCTGTAACCAACTTCGAAGCGAGAGCGTCCGGATCCGTTTGCACACACACACACACTTATATACACATCTTATATATATATATATATATGTTATAGTCGTTCGACTTCGACGACACATGCGATGGCGACGGCAGCGACCTCGACGGCGGCGGCGACGGCGAAGGCAACGCCGCCGCCGCCGCGCCGCTGACCGGGCCGCCGAAAGCAGCAGGAGGGCCGCCGAACGACTCCAGAGGCCACCGCGTGCCGCCGAAGGGTCGTCAGGGGCCGCCGACTTGGCCCCTCCGTGGCACTCTCCCGGGGTGCGCTCGCACCAGGACTTCGAGGAGGATCCCGCCGCGGCGACGAGGGCCTCAGGGCAGGCCCCGGCAAGAGGCGAGGGACTGGGGCGGCCTCGGTGCCTCTCCCTCCTCTGGCCGACGCGGCCGCCGAAGCGGCGGCCGAGAGGGCCTCCCCTCGCGGCCGCTCGGCGGCCCGCCCGGCCGCGGGCTCGTGCGCGGGCGGCGACTGCTGCAGCCCTCCCGCCCGCAGCGCGCCGCCGGCCAGGGCCACCAGCGCGGCGGCGGCGCGCGGCGCCATCTTGGGGGGGGGGGGGGGCCGCCCCGCGCGCCCATCCCGCGGCCGGGGCCCGGGGAGCGGCGGCGCGCAGAAGGCCCAGCGCTCCGACGGTGCGACGCTTCTCTGTTCTGCTTGGCCGCGGTGGCTCGTCGCCGACCGTCGGCCCGGATCGGAAGGACGCAGGGTGAGGATGCCAGGGCCTCGGAGAGCCGGTTCGAAGCGTTGAGGGCGGGGCGCGGCCACCGAAAGTGGCCAAGGATGGACCGAGGAGGCCAGGATGCACGGGTACCCGTGGGAAGGCTGCCCGTCCTTGCTATGCGGGTTGACTGTATTCGCCGGCTCATGTTGGGAGGCTAGTGGGTTGGCGCCAAAACCGATATCGGCACATGGCGGTGATATTCGGGCTTCCTGGGCGGACGAAAGATTACCACCAACACCATGATCTATGATCGTCTTCCTGCGATGAAGGCACCCCCCTCTTGGTGTTGCTGCCAATCTCCAGGATCTAGAACGAAGACCTGCCCCCTGGGATGGGGGTTGTTGAGACCTTCTCTAGGCCGCGCACTGGAACAATCACATCGTCGGACGTCTGGGGTGGGGTGGGGGGGCCAGGAGGGTGGCCGTCTCAGGCACCCCCTGGCTTCCCTCGCGTCACCTCCTTCTAAGCGCCGGGCGGCAAAGTGGGCGGATCTCCTGTAAGGTTTCCCGGAGAAATCCTCCTCGTCACGGCTGGACTCGCCTTGAAACTCATGCCGAGACGCGGTCCAGGAGAGAATTTAGGCATGGAGGTTCGGCGGAATCATGTGGCAACGGATGGGCGTTCCCAGAAAGGGCGATACCAATGTCGAGGCTCCAAGAAGAAATTCGATTTCGGAAACCCTGAACCCAAAATCGTGTTCATCTCTTGGGGACGCACTTTTTACCTCCGCCGCCTTCCGCCGAGCTTCTGTCGGCTTCCGCCCGCGGAGGCGGCCTCGTTTCACTTCCATCGCCCTTCCGCCACCTTCCGCAGCGGAAGAGACGACCACTCCTTCGATCCTCGAAGGCAAGGCCCTTTCTGGAGCGCCCAGTATATGTGTTGCCGATTGTTGCGCTCCCTCGCAGCGTGTCCTTGCGCGCACTCGTGGCCACGGCTGGAGCCACCTTGAAATCCCAGACCCAAAAATGAACCCCAAGACGGGTCCAGGAGTCGTTCTCTTCCCACCATGCCCAGACACCCCTCGGCTCGAGACAGATCGAGGCGGCCAATGCTTCATCGCTTTAGGCCCTCACAGGCCACGGGAAATCAGACGCAGGGAAGGGTCCAGATGTCGGAGAGGCCGCTCCTATTTGCATCGATCTTCAGAATGTCGGGACTGGCGCGGGAGATCCACCAACAAAAGATGGACAGAGGTACAGTGCAGGGCGCTTGACCTGACGGGCAAGCCGAGCCCAAAAGGGCTGCGCAGAAGGGACAAACGACGAATGAGTATACGAAGATACACGGGAAAACGGCCTGAGCCCGACACGACGCAATACCACAACGCCCGTCGCGCCGCAAGCTCCCCACCGCGAGAGCAATACGGACGCGAGAGGAAAGAACTCAAGACCTGAAGGACGTCGGGCATACTGTGCAACCCTATCTGTACCTTTCGATGCGTAGGCGGATCGAACCTACGGTGCATCACATGCGTGCTCGTGCACGTGCAAGCGGACGCACGCGCACGGACAACGTGTGGCGAACGACCGTTTAAAGCTGGCCCTGACCGCTGTAAATCCGTACCGTGCTCTTGTTTGGCAGGTCTACCAATCCAGGACGTGTCATACGCTCCTGGACAACACTTTTTTGGTCGGCGGGTCGAGAGCGGGCCTCTTCCGGTTACGTAAGAGCTAGGCGGGGCGCGCGAAGCACTAATTGGGGAGACAAGGCGCGGGCGGGCGGGGCCTCAGGCGGCCGGAGGGTGCGGAGTACAGGCGGTGCCGAAGAGCTTGCACACGAAAAGGTACGCCTTGGACGCTCCTAGACAAAACTGGCAAAGGAGAGCACAAAAGCCTCAGCAACAGCAGGCGGCCTGTCCACCGTTTGGAAGGCCTACCAATCCAGGACGTGTCATACTTACCAGCCTGGAACATATCCCTATCCCTATGCTGGGCACCTCCTCATCACGATGCCAATCTTAGGGATTCCCTTATCTTTTGAGGGCGAATCCCTAAGATTGTCATCGCCTTTTGGCGTGTCGATCTTAGGGATAGGGATACGTTCGAGGCTGGTAACATACGCTCCTGGACAAAACTGGCAAAGGAGAGCACAAAAGCCTTCGCAACGGCAGGCGGCCTGTCCACCGCCAAACGCGGGAGAACGACAAACCATGCATCGTCTGGGCCACAGGCAAGATAACAGGAGAGCATATCTCTGGGCGCAGCACGTCGTCTTCGAGTCAACCTGGCTACGTCTTTGTAACCTGTAACCAAACTGCACTCCAAAGATACCCAGCCAACCGGGCCCAAAACCTGCAACTCCAATATCCTCACCCATCCTCCGGAGTCTGCAGCCCACATGTCCTCACCCACCCGCCTATACCATCTCTTAGATCATCACCACCAGCCTGAAACCGAACCCGGTCTCCCCAACCACCTGACAACAAACATACTATCACACACCAACCTGCCAATGCAATCCGAATACCCTCACTCCCACACCTGACCTGACATCCATGCTCGCATATCTCAACCCACCAGCCTGAAAAGATGTCTCCAAATACATCTCCTCCTCGCCCGTCCGCCCAGAACTGTAACACAGACTGGTCTCACGTCGCTGCCGAAACACGCAGCCAACATGATCCTCAGCAAGGAACTGAATGCTCTTCACCCATCGCCAGCAACACTTTTTTCCTGACGGAGAAGAGCGCAGGAGCGCGCGACCACTGAACCTCACCACGGTACGACTAGCACCGCCGCGTGCAACAAATGCTCGCCAGTCAACGCAGAACGCTACGCCGACCTGTCACAGGCAAACTCATGCGACAAACTGCAGCCTGAGAGAATAATGAATTACGGTGTGAATGTAATGCCAGAGGGGGAGCGGAAGGAAAGGAGGAAAGAGGGGAGACGCGGACAAGGAGAAGCGACTCCGAAGCCTTGATGATGCGTAACAAAACGAACGAACGACGCCGAGAGATCCTAAGAGAAATCCGGAAATCGCGCTGTCCGAAGACAAGGCGCACGAAGGAGAGATCTCTCTCGAAATGTGGCGATTGAAACAGGAGCCGAAGAAGAGCCAAACCTCGGAACACTTGGCGACTGCCAGAGTCCTAACCGCCCCAAACCCACCTCCATGGCTGACAACGACTGCTGCCAACACGAGCACAGCCGGGACAGGACAACACTACGCAGTGCCACAACAGTGCTGACAAAAGTGCGCTCGGCGAGCGCAGGGGCGAGCCCTCGAAGCAGACTGGCACGCACGACCCGGCGAAAGCTCCTCGCCAACATGGCGGCTAGCAGCAGCGCTCTAAGGGGTCACTTGGCCGCAGAATTAGCCTTACACTGGGGGAAGGGGCGAAGGGGAAGGAAGGGAAGGAGAGTGGGAATGGAAGAGATCCAGCGCGCAACGCATATCAACGCATCGCGACTAGAGGGCACAAGCCGCCCGCACCACACCGGTGACGCGGGCGCGGAGCATCGGCCAGCGCATGGTCTGACGCGAAAGCAGGGCATGCAACAAGAACAAACAACTACGTGCAGGGGCGCGTCCTTTGGCGGCAAGCTGGTCAAAGCGCCGCGGTCCCGCAGCCGCGGAGTGGAACCATAGAGCGGGCTCCACGCACCGCTGGGGATGGCCTATGCTGTACTAATGCAAGAACGCGTCAACGTATGACAAGAAAAACGCGGGAACAAGGGTGCGAACGGCAAGGGAGCAGCCTGGCCCATGCGCCACGGCCCCGCAGCCGCGGAGGGGAGGCACAGGGCGGGCCCGCGCACCAGGGGCGACAGCCCATGCCATACAAGTGCATGCATTTCCGCATGAAAGGCAGGTAAGCAGGCCACCGCAAACAAAACTGCAATCCCGATGTCATCTCGCGCCCGCATACAACAACCCAAAAATCCCAGCCCACCCGCATACGAAAAAAACAGCCAAGGCAACCTCAAGCACCTGCCACCGACTGCAACCCCAAACTCCCCGACCTGCCACCAAGAAGGGCAAACCAACTATCCACACCTACCCGCTCGAACCTGCAGTTCGCATCTTCGCCCACACGCCTCCAAACTCAAGCCTAGACATCCCCTCACAGCCTCCCCCCCCCGCGGACCCTGGGAACCCCCTGGCGGCGCATCCGGCGCCGCCCCTGGCGCGCGCTGCGCCCCCATGGAAGGGGGAGTCCCCGGTGCCGATGCAAAAACTCTACGCGGACCTCCAACAAAATGTCTGGCTGTGCTGGCTCGATTGCTTCGGCTGAGATGGGCTCGGATGGTTGGTCAATTCTGTTGGTTTTACTGCCTCGACTGACGGGGACACTCGGCCGACCCGCAAGCTCACCGGGCCCTGTTCCAGATCCCGAGCTTCCCCCCTCCCCGCCCACGCCACGTTCGGTGTTCCCGAGAACGTGTGTTAGCCCCAACGTGTGCTTGTCCAATCGAGGCCCTTCGATACGACGCAGGCGATGTAATGATCTACTGGTTGGGCTGGAGGGGATAAACTAGGGGAACAAAAAGTGGCATAAACATAAAAACTCGGAGGTCTGCGCGGACTTCTCGGATCGGCGCTGGACCCCCCTCCCTGGCGCGCGGAGCGCGCCAGGGGCGGCGCCTGAGGCGCCGCCGGGGGGCCCCAGCGCCGATCCGAGAAATCCACTGTCGAGCCTCGAGCCGCGACACCTCAAACCGAGAGGTGCCGATGCCGCTGCTCCCTGGACCTTTCAGGGGTGCACTCGGATCGAAGCTTCGAGGCGGATCCAGCCGTGGCGGCGAGGGCCTCCCAGGACGCCCCAAGAGAGGCGAAAACGGGGCTGGGGCAGCCGTACTGCCACCCATTCCGCATCCAG